GAAATATAAGCTGAGCCAGAACCTGGGATATTTAAGGATGACAGACAACATTTGTGGAAAGAATAAGCCTAAAGTGTGTATACGAGCTAGGACATCCTCAACTGGAGGCCAGCTCTTCTTTGGGTATTAGCCACAGTTAGCCTCATGGTTTTGGTTTTTTGTACATAGCTTTTCCTTTGTTAATTTCTGAGAGTGATTTCTTACTGTGTAGGCATATTGTTTGTATAGCAGTTTCACGGAAGAGTATTTGGGAATGAGGACACACTATTGAATTCTTTACCTTATTCCTAGTGTTGGGTTAAAGAATGCTAAGGACTTGTTTTGTCCTTTTACGAGAACACACAGGGAATACGTTTTTTGTTTTTTTTTCAAGATGTGACTCTGCATTCTAGATTCACAGTGAGCACTGACCATGGCTTCTTTCATATTATCTGCTCGTCCTACATCCTAGAAATGAAAGTGAGATTATTTCCAAATTGAGAAACTTCATAGGGTTTGGAGTTTGTCAAGATTTCTGTTGAACAGCCCCTCCTTCACTTAAGATCAGAATTAAAAAAGAATATGCTTATATGGATATATGCTAACACTTTAATAGTTCATTTGAATAATATATGGAAAAGCACTTTCATTTCTGAATTGTTTTTGTTACTCTTATTGTCCTGTTTTGTTTTGTCTGGTTCTGAAGTAATGTTTTGCTATGTATCATAGACTGGCCTGGAACTGGTGAACCTCCAACTCAACCTTCTGAATTAAACCTGGCAACTCCAGATCACAATAGTGCTGTATTTGATCCATTCTAAAATAAATCTTTTCCTAATACTTTAAAAAAAAAATTTCCTCTCTTTCTCTCTAATGGACCACAGAGTTTGCTTTTCAAATGTAACCACATCCAAAACTGTTAGAAATAGTCTAATCAGCATTTAGGTGAACAAATTCAAATGATAAAAGCCTTGAACTCTTGAATTTATCTAGCTAAAGATCTTTATTTTGAGTAATTCTGCTGCTTGTGACACTGAGAAACCCATAAGGCACAAATCTAGGCAGCTGGTGAAAGTGCTCTGTTTCTGAGAACCAGTGTCAATGAGAAGTTTCCAGCATTTGAGATGAAAACAAAGTATGTTGATATGTGTGAGAGTCCAGCAGTTACCATTGTTTTCATAAGAGACACAGCATTTGACATAAACCGCATTTTAGGCTGAATTTATTGATTTTCAGTACTTTAGAATCCAAGAATTACTTAGCAAAAACTGATCATTTTTGCAAAGAATACTTGAGGCGGCATTTCACAGTTGGTATTTAAAACAGTAAATTGAAGAGATCTTTGAAATTGCTTTTCTTAGAAGTAAATTAAAAAATATTTAATTAAAATAATATTACGTAATTTCTCTTTTCTTCCTCATATCACCTTCATGTCTGACAACTCTTCCCCTGCCAAATTTAAGGCCTCATCTTCATTTACTGTTGTTACATATACATATAAATTATATACATACATACATACATTTATGTATACATACTATATAACATATAAATACAACCTGCTGAGTCCATTCAGTATTGCTTGCATGAATGTAGACCACTCAGTAAAGAATAAAAATGATTTACCCTCAAGAACGTTCTATTTTAATCTGAATCTCTTGAACTCCCAATGAAAAAATTTTTTAAACTTAAAGCCCTAATAAAGAGTCTCCTCATCGCAACCTTCATCTCCTTATTTCTAAGTGTATAGATGACGGGATTCATAAAAGGAGTGATAATAGCATCAAAAATTGCTAAAAACTTATCTATGGGTAACGTAGGGAAAGGCCACACATAGACAATAATACAAGGACCAAAGAAGAAAACTACCACAGTGATGTGAGCTGAGAGAGTGGAGAGGGCCTTGGAGGAAGCACCCGAGGAGTGTTTACGAACCGTGACCAGGATGAAGATGTAAGACACAACCAGGATGAAGAAGGTGGCCATGGAGATGAAACCACTGTTGGCAGTGACCAGGAACTCCAGTCTGTATGTGTCTGTACATGCAAGTTTGATGAACCGAGGAAAATCACAATAAAAGCTATCCATTTTATTAGCTCCACAGAAGGGTAAATTTACAACAAAAGCCAACTGGGCCACAGAATGGATAAGGCCAATGGTCCAAGCCAGAGCCAAAAGAAAAATGCACATTCTTAGACTCATGATGGTGAGGTAGTGGAGGGGCTTACAGATAGCGATGTACCTGTCATAGGCCATGACTATGAGCAGCACCATCTCTGTTCCTCCGACAGTGTGAATGAAGAACATCTGAGTGATGCACCCATTCAGGGAGATGACTTTGTGCTTCCTGAAGAGGTCATAAATCATCTTTGGAGTAGCAATGCTGGACACACCTGTATCTATAAAGGAGAGGTTTGCCAGCAGGAAGTACATGGGGGAGTGCAGGTGATGGTCTGAGATGATTGTGAGCACGATGAGAAGATTTCCCAGCATGCTTGCTACATAAAATACTGTGAAGAACAGAAAAAGGAGAATCTGAATTCTCCATGAATTGGTGAGGCCCAGCAATAAAAATTCTGATACCACAGAGTGATTTCCTCCATCCATCAACTTGTGCAAGTCTGACCATAAGGTGACTATTCTCTGAAGGGCACAAGAGGCAGAAAATATTATTATTAAGCAAAAGAGGCATCCTGGTTGTAAAGCAATGACTCAGATACAGAACATTAAAGGCACCCTGTTGTTTTACAGGCAGATTTTACAAAGCTCTCATAGAGACCAGGTACAGAACATTTCCTATGCTTGCATATTTAGGGTCACTTCATTATTTAATCCTAAGTTTATTTTGAAGTGTATAGCCAAGAAAGGAAAACTAGAGGCAAAGGCACTTGAGAATCTGAGGAGAGTCAAACAAGCTCTGCAGACACTTGTGCTCACTAGCTTCCATGCAGGAAATTAGTGCCATGGAATCTAGGCATGCTAAAAGAAATTTGTGCTTTTAGCCTTTGTGAATTGATTCCTTACTTTGTTCTGGAATTTTGTGTGTTTAAATTACTGACACATTTTGGTTTCCTAGGTTTACATTAGTGTCATCAATGAAAAAGTTACTTTTTAAAAATATTAAATCTTTGCTTGCCAAAAATAGTGCTTTTTCACGAAATAAATTTGTTCTCAAATACATGTACACAATGTAAACTGACCACTCTTATCCCCATCCCTCACCATCTTCTATCTTCCTACAACCTTATCCACACCCCATGGCAAATCCTCTTTCATGTTTTATCTATTCATTTTGCTTTGTGACCAGTTAGTCTAATCAGGTTCATCTATGTAGCTATAAGTCTGGAGCTCTATGTTGGAGGCTGGTGGGCTCAGTAGTGGGTACACAACAGGAGACAATGATTGTTCCTTTCCTAGAATCTATCAATAGCCAATAAAGGTTAGTACCCCAATGAGCCTCTTATTCTTCCATGGAAATTGTATGCAGGGTCAGTCTGGGACCCACTGCTGGTAACTGATTGATTATGAAAAATAGAAATAGAAAAGAAGAACAATGGATGACTCTATTTCCAGCCCTAACATTGACTGATACTGAGGAATGGAAATGTCGGTCTTGTTTGGAAAGAAAGGAAATGGAACTCTTACCAGAGTAGTTTAACAGAATCTGTCCTCAGATGGGAATCACACTCTTAAAGAACTAAGAGATAATGAGAAGCTTCCATCATATGAGAGCTGCAATTCCCAATGAGAAAAATAGAAATTGCTTTGAATAATGCTTAGAAGTGACAGAAATCAAAGCTATATAGAACATTGAAGCTGAAAGTATGTTAGAATTCTATTGCTATTAAAAACTAAAAGGATAAGAAACTAGGAAAGTAATATAGAATAGAAAATATGAACAAATTATGCACTGTTCTCCCATAGCACTTTTTTTGTGTTAAGCATTCTACCTTTATTTTGTAGCCACCTGGAGCCTTCTGTAAACATCTTCCCCAAAAGCTTGAGAAAATTCATATGTGCTCATTTGATTCTCTGCTCTTTGCTTCTTCTAGAACACACAAAGCAAACATATCAAGAACTAAATTGTAGTTTAACTGAGGGCCAATAATTTATGACCAATAGTCGCAGGCAGATTATCTGTCCATAGTTAGGTTGGAATGAAGTGTGTTCTACTGTGAACTATCTGTTCACACATATGTTTTACTTACATGGTAATTCTCGAAGTGGGAGAATTTCTCCTGGTTGAGAGGAGGATAACTTCACATTCAGACTGAGAGCTGCACCTTTTACAAAACAAAAGAGCCTTATGTTGTTTTTCCCCAGTAAAAAGACTTCTAATTAGTGTGGTCCACTGAGTCTGTATTGTCACCCAGGGAATAAAAAGGACAAAAGAAGTGAAGAACAAAAGCATCTCACACAGATGTTCAGAAATATTTTTTTTTTGCCTCAGAATGAGTGATTAAAGTGACTGATGAGAAAGTCAGACCCTCAGAAATCCAAGAGGCAGAGATGCTAGACAAAAGAGTTAACTACCTATTCTAGAATTAGCAATGAAGATTCAGCCAATGAGAAATCAGCACACACTAAGCTATTACTCACTTTGGCAATTTGTATCTTCCAGTTCCATAAAGTTCCAAGCCCCAGACCTCAGACTGTAGAGACTTTTCCATCAGAATGGGGGGGTGGTGGTGAAATGGGGGGAGTGCTGGGGGATGGGAGGAGGGAGGACAGGGGAATCTGTGGTTGACAAGTAGAATGAATAGAAAATCTCTTAATAAAAAAGAGATACATTCAAATAATTGGGTGCTAATTTCTAAGAAGAAGAGGCAATGCCATGTCACAGTTTTCAAACAACTATCTGTGACTATATTTAACAAGACTTTCTTTCCATTTTATAATTTTCCTTCTCAGTGTTTTCTCTATTTCTACAATTTTCATCATTCTTCAGATATTAGTGCCTCAAGATAATTTCTATGAAGTACAATTGGTAAACTCCAAGATCACTGCCATGTTCTCCTCCAACTCAATGCATGAATAAAAGGGAGCAGTGGCACCCAATGTGGAATATTTAGACAATTTTTAATAAAAATTTTTCTACCAGTGTGTTTGGATCAAATACAGTGGTTATCATCACAAAGACAAAAGACAAATTCTTATGAGATGTGGAGCAAAGGAAACTCATATAATGTTGATGAATGAAGATTAGTTTAGATGCCAGGTGAATATATGGAGATTCTTCCAAAAATATTAGCATGTCAATAAGATGCTTGCATTCTCATAGTGATTGCTGCATTATTCAAAGGGTATATTATAATGCACACTACTGAAAAACAGAGAGACCTTAGAAAATATTCAGAAAACATCTATTCCTTGAATCTATGGGAGTTGTATCTAGTTGAGAAGGAACACTTAATGAATTATATTTAATTTAGCACAAACACCAAGGAGACAGAGTGTTCTTTTAGAAAAAATACATTTAAATACATTTGAAGGTCTACTTTGATTACTCAGTAGCATGAATAGTATAATCTATTATTCAACTGGAGATATTTAACATATTTCAAATAATCTTTTTAAGGTATAACATAATTATGTATTGATTTTTTTTGGGAATTTGACATCATACACCCCAGTCACACTCACTTCCCCGTCCCTCCATATCCACCCTTCAACTCTGCAGCATCCCCCTAAAGAACATTAATTAAAAACAAAACAAATAAAAAAAACCCCACCTCACTCCTCCATCTTTTCTGTCTCATTAACAGCTCTTCATTAACCCTAATGGCATTGGGAGCTATAGTGTGTCACACAGTATACCCTTTTGAACAATCAACCCCATCCATAAATGTTCATTGCAGTGAGTCCTTGGTCTGGCTCAAGGCCTCTCCCTCTGGTACACCATCATCACTGGACCTTCACTGAAATTCCTCTTGGATGTTCTGTTGTTGCTCCGAGTCATGAGGAACCTGTGGCTATTGTTCTACAGGACCAGTACCTTCCTGTGTTCCAGCAGGTCATAGATGAGGTAGATGTTAGGGTGGGCCAACTCAATGCCCAGGATGTGGCTCTGGGTGATGGCTGAGCTGGTCAGTCCGTGTTGCTGGGATCCCCTCCTTCAGATGAAGAGCAGAGCCAGTTCTCCTAGGCCCATGCCACTGGGGCTAGCTCTCCCACACCCATGGTAGGGGGTGGGTCCTTCTCTCCCAAGTGTTGGCCAGCTCTCCCATGAGGAGTGGGGTCAGCTCAGCATGGCCCTTGGATTTCAACATGCATAGTTCCTATGACTCCCTGTGGTAATGTGTCATGGACATCAACACAGACTCCATCTGCAGTAGGACCATGGACCCAGACATGTCTCTCTCTAGTCAGCATCTCTGGGGCCAGGATGCTATCAGGGCTCTGGTGGCAGCACAGGTCACCCAGATCAGTATGGCTCTGAGGGCTGCATTGGCACTCAGACACCAACATGATCTCAGGTGGCTGACCAGACCCTGGGCATCCACACAACCCTTGGTGGTAATAAGATCCATGGACATCAACTAAGATCATGGCTGCTATAAGGCCACAGTCCCACATATGACCCTTGGCATTAGCCTGGATCCAGAGGACCCCATGGCCCCATGTGGCAGCACAGACCACCCAGATCGGCATGGCCCATGTGGCAGCATGTTCCTCAGATACCAACATGGTCACAGGTTGCAGCTTAAACTTTGGGAATCCATGTGGCCTTTGGTTACAACATTGCCCACAGACATCAACGCAGACCCCAACTGTGGTAGGATCATATCCTCAGCAGCAGAGTTTTGAACTTTTATTACGTTTAAACTATAATTCATTTTTTTAATTTATACAATAGATTAATGAACTATCTTTGAAATAAATTTCAGGTGGATAAGACATGGCATTAATTATGTTTTCTGAATTGAGAGCCTATCTTGTGCCTACTGTGCTGTTTATTCTCTAAGGAGAAGTAGACCTACAACATAATGTGATACATTATTTTTTCAAAGTCAAACACAATGCTTTCTACGACAGAATGGCTATCTTCAGAGGTTTAAAATTTCTGCTCATGAGCTGAGCTCTCCAAGGCAGCGATTCTCATGTATGCATCATATTTTATGGACAAGTACAAAGCTATGTACTTTGAATGTGAAATCAGGCACTGAACTGTTGTTTTTCATACTGAAGGCCATCAATAAATAAATAAGCTATGTGTGGGGGTACCTTCTTATTATTGCTCTCCAGGGAGGCCCTAGAAGCCCCCCAAACAGTACACCTTGATTGTACAATATAGAGAAATCAGACTGGAATTAGGCTGAGTTAGCTTTCATAGTGCCAGATGGTTCTATGCAGGCTCCTGAAAGAATAAAGGCTTCAACAGTCTTACCCAGTGGTGAACTCAATGAGCTGCAATATTGGTCTGCCATGTAACATGTGTCCCCTTGTGCAATAGTGGCTTGGCTGTTATGGAGCTAACCAATTGACTTCTGATTGGATTGAGGTCCACCACATAGGAGGGAATTCATAGTGTATGCTGTTCTGCTGTTCACTTTCTATATGAACACTGTGCTTGATTGTCTTTAGCTATACACAATTGGAGCTTTCTTTTCAGTGGTTTTAAGGCATTCGACATTTTGGGTATGGTATAATTTCTAAATT